ACACACACACACACACACACACACACACACACACACACACACACACATGTTCGTTCCACCAAAAGATAAAATGTTCCCTGCTCTGACATTACTGAAAAAACAAAAAAAACATGCTGTTCTTGCATGGCTGTAGTGAAGGTCTGCAGCTGTGTGTGTCCTACCTGCATCCAAGGAAGATGTGGTTGGCCCAGACCATGGACAGGGACAGCAGCCGGTCCGGACTGCTGCCGGGGAGCCCAGGCTTCAGTGTGGGGAAAGCCTCCATGTTTCTGAGGATGAACTCCCTCCGAGCAGACCACTGCTTGCTGCTCTCACAGTATCCTCTGAACGAGTCGAGCCACTGGGCCAGCTGCGGGTTCTGGTCCAGGTGCTCCGACACGTCGTCTCCGCTCCTCTGCTCTGCCATCCCTGATGGACGAACACCAGCAGAGATTAACAAAAACACACACAGAGATTAACAACAACATAAATAGAGATTAACAACAACATAAACATTAGCAAACACTCTGGCTTTAACCGATAGAGTAAATTCAGTGTAGCTAAAGTGACAGGATTAGAAAGTCCGCAGATGGTTATAAACTGCTTCAGGCCTTTGAAAGCTAATGTTTTAAACCAACTGTCTGGTTAGTTAGGCTGACCAGTAGATGTTTTTAAATTAGCACTTTAGTAACTCAGTTACCTGACGATATAAGTTGAAGCAAACAGCAAGTCGCGTATCATTAGCTAAACCAAAGCACGTTAGGAACTCCAACCCGACATGTAGCTTGTTTATAATGTCTAACAAGGTCTTCAGTGATTGTCAAGTCAGTATGAAGTCCTCTTAAAACTACGACATAATGGTGTTTGTGTTGCGATGTGTTGCTAGCTAGCTGCATAACCGAAAATGACGCAAAATTGTCGATTTAGCGGAGAAAACTACATTTCCCAGAATTCGTCAGTAAGCTATGTGTTAGCATGCTAACTTTTGCTTAATTATGTTTACGCAAGCGCTCTCAGCTCTTTCATTGGGGCTAAATTGAACCGCTAAACCACCGATTCCTGTTTGTGATATTATGACACCAAAATAAACAAATTAGAGTCGGTCAGCGCCGTTTGTTAGTGACCAAAATAGCAAAATAACGGCGGAAGTGTTCGCGTTGTTGATGCAGTACTTCCGGTATGCGTCATCAACCTGCGACATTTAGGACTTATGGCGGTTTGATTTTGTTAGAGCGAGAAACTCTTACCTGTTTTTATCAGGTGACTGAAAATGATTCACGAGCTGTTACTGGCGCTCAGTGGATACCCAGGAGCGATCTTTACATGGAACAAACGGACAGGTCTGCAGGTAACTGATGCTGACAGCAGCAGTCCCGAAGCTAGACAACGGTCGTTCCACTTGTTTTTAATATAGTTTGTTTTCAGTCAGAGAAATTTAATGCTTAATAAGCATTCACACTAAATACTATGCTATTGGCATAGATATCTTTCAAACGTTTTGAAATATTAAGAAGCTTTTTCTGCCATTCTGTTTCTCATTTTAAATGCATCGATTCTGTGAAATCCTTAACATCTTACTGCTGTTTGAGCTGTCACTATTTCAGCATACTTCCACCTAGAAAGTCCATTCCACCCATAAACAATTCATAAGACATTCAGCTATCCCCAAATGATTCAGCTGTTTGATATCTTGAACCGTTATTGTAAAATCAGAGTTCAAGTTTGTTAAAGTTTTGGTGTTTGTCTCCTGTCCTGCTTCGTTGCCATAGTAACCGGATGTTACTGCAGCAGGAAGAGAATCCTAAATGTCCAGCTGACGTGTGTGTGAGTGTTTAACTCATGTTCAGCTCTTTACAGGTTCATTCAGCCTGTTGCAGCTTTTGTTTAGCTCTTTTAAGCTGGTTCAGCTGTTCGTGAACTGTGAGAATCATCATTTCTGCTTCTCATTGTTCAGTTCAATTCATGCTCCAACAATGTTCAGTCAGTTCATCTGGACGGGTTCTTTTTTGTGCTGAGACGTGTTCTCCATCATCTAATGGACTTCTTCAGTCGGATTCTCCACCAAAAAACATATTTTCCCTACTGTGGAGTATGCTGTTGGTGGAGAATCAGTTCTGTTTGGTGTCTCCTCAGATTGAAAACGTCCTTTGGATGAAGGACGAAACGTCTCAGTACAAAAAGAAACCCTCCAGATGACCTGACTGAACATTGTTGGATTTTATACCTGGATTATTGAGCACAAAATTTGTTCATTTCAATTCATGCTCCCTTCAGCTTCTTTCAGCTTTTTTGTCTTTCAGCCACTGTTCAGCTGTTTCGCTGCTAGTTAGAGCTTTTCTCTGCTAATTTAACCTTTAATGTGAGCATTTTGACACTTTTCAATTTAGTTTATTTATATAAATATCACAACAGTTGTCTCAGGGCATTTTACAGGAACGTTCACATATATAGAAAAGCCAATTAGTAAAGTTCTGTATCTAAGGAAGGAGCAGACTGGTTGAATCTTCACGTCATCGCAGTCTCCCCTCCTGAGCAAGCACAGTGGCAACAGTAGAAAGGAAAACTCCCTTTTAAAAGGAAGAAACCTCCAGCAGAACCAGGCTCAGGACAAGTGGTCATCTGCTTAGTGCTATTTTTCTGTGTTTATTTCATCAAACTCTGTCTGCTCATTTCCACATTTTGTTCTGTTTTTTCAGCCACTTTTGCATTGATTTCAGCTGTTTTTTCTTGTTTTTGCTTCTTTCTGCTAATTCAAGCTTTTTGGTCGTCCCCCCCCCCCCCCCCCCCCAAATCTACTTTTTTTTTTGTTAATTACGCTTTTCTGCATGTTTTAGCTATTTTAATCTAATTCCAACCTTTTTCTGCATCTGTATTTTTATTTTTGGCTCATTGTGCTTCTTGCAGCTTCATCTTTCAAATTTGTAGCTACTGAATTGTATTTCAAGTAAACTCTAGCTTTTTAAGCAGCTTTCAGCCAAATCATTCAGCAATCAGCATTTACACTGCATTTTAGCAGGAAATGCACGTTCCCTAATTGTACCGTATTTTTTGGACTATAAGGTGCACCTGATTATAAGGCGCATTAAGTGAAATAAGTTCATTTTGATAGCTTTTTAAGCGCTGTGTACCACATAAAATCGATTTGAGGTCAGTACCATACCATACCACTTTATTTATAAAGCACTTTAAACAGCTACAAGGCCAACCAAAGTGCTGTACAGACAAAACAACAGGTAACACACAAAGCAAAATACAAAATGAGGTAAATCAGAATATAGACATAAAAACGATGCAGATAATGACGACAAACCAGTGTGGAGCATACAGGATCAAAACACAGATCATCTGGTGTTGAAAGCTACTGAATAGTAGTGAGTTTTTAAACGGGACTTGAAAACCGAGAGGGAGGGGGCCAGTCTGACAAGCAGAGGTAACTCGTTCCAAAGTCTTGGTCCTGTTACAGAGAAGGCCCTGTCACCTCTGCGCTTAAGACGAGTTCCTGGAACTGTGAGGATCAACAGTAAGCACAACCAGAATTAATACATAAGGCTATCTGTTGAATTTTGAGAAAATTCAAGGATTTAAGGTGCACCTTAGTCCGAAAAATACAGTAATAGACATAATAAATGATCTGGTCCTGATGACGTCCTAAAATTGGGCAAATGCATTTCAAATGAGTTATATTTATTTAATAAGTCAGAATCAGTCATTTTAGTTTGTAGCCTCCTTGTCCACATTCTCTTTGAATAAACAAGTCTAGTACATCATATAAAAAATAATAAATAAATAAACAGGATATAATAGGAACCATAAAGTCCATTTTCCATTAAAAATGTTCATTTAAAGTTAAAATGAATATAGTCCAGGCTTTGCAGTAGCTAAGGGACTAGAGGACTCAAAGCTCCCGTCCTGGACAGCAGCAACATGAGCCAGAATGTGCTGGTTGGCTGACATCATGTCTCCTGGCTTCCTCTGTCACTTTCTTTCTGTTGCATCATGGACCAGTTTGGTCCGAGCCTCGGCTGTCGGACAGATGGACTCACAAACACTTCAGTCTACAGAAGACTGCGTAGTCCACTCAGATGGTATGAGGTGGCTGGTTTTCTCAATATGGAGCTGTGCATTATGGGTAAACAATTGTACTCTGAGCTCATCTGTCCAAAGGACATTGTTCCAGAAGTCTTGTGGGTTTTTCAGATTAACCTTTTCAAACCTAAGCTGCTGCAATGTTGTTTCAATTCAATTCAAAAATACTTTATTAATCCCAGAGGGAAATTAAATGTTGTTGTAACTCATCATCCTGGTTTCATTAAAGAGTTGTTCTAGATGCTGATGGCTGTGGGCAGGAAGGATCTCTTGTAGCAGTCTGTCCTACAACGGATTTGAAGAAGCCTCTGACTGAAGACACTTTGTTGTTTCTACAGAGAACATACTTTCTCCCACATTGATGGGTTGAAATTAGATTTTTTTTTAAATCTGACTAGCTTTTTGTGAATTCTTGTTCAGTGTTTGTCATGCTTTTTGTTCATGGGCTGTTTTAACATCTTGAGATCATTTTTATTTTAGGTCCTGGCCAGGAACAGACATTTTTCATGTGTAAAAAAGATTTTACCTCAGAACTGAGAAAAGTTCATGACCGGGTTTATTGTTGGCTGTTTAGAGGGTGAAATACTCTTCTTTCAGCTTTGTAATAACATACTTGCTGTGACGCGATACATTGCCTTAATTTGACATTCAAATGATATTGCAGAACAGAAACATCTGTTTTATACTTGGCAGCTTTCACTGAAAGTCTCGTTTTATCAGGAATCTTGTTTCCATCCTGATGTACAGACCCTTTCCAAAAAAATTAGAATATGATGGAAAAGTAGTTTAACTCCTATAATTCCATTCAAAAAGTTAATCTTTAAAAGATGATAGATTCAGGGCCCACAATTTAACAATTTCAAGTATTTATTTGTTTATTTTTACATAATTTGGGCTTCCAGCTCATGAAACCCACGAAAACAGGAATTCAAAAAATTTGAATACTGTGATGACATCAGCCCACACTTCTCAGTTTTTGCAGAAAAAAGAAAGAAATTAGGATCACAACAAATCAAACAAAATATGGTACTTTCAAAACAATATGTCAATCTTCAACCCTTGGTTGGGAATCTCTTCGTCTTAATTGCTGCCTCGATGCAACGTGGCATTGAGACAATCAGCCTGTGGCATTGACTGGGAGTTATGGAAGCCCAGATTTCCTTGATGCTTGCGGTCAGCTCTTCTTTGTTGTTGGGTCTGGTGCTCCTCATCTTCCTCTTGAGAATACTCCATAGATTCTCAATGGGGTTTAGGTCCAGAGCGTTGGCTGGCCAGTCAAGCACTGTGGCATGGGCATCAAACTAGGTTTTGGTGCTTCTGGCAGCATGGGCAGGGGCCAAGTCCTGCTGGAAGATGAAATCTGCATCTCCATACAGATCCTCAGCAGAAGGAAACATAGAACACAAATCACAGATCAAAAGTTTAAACTGAGAGAATGTATCATTTTAAGGGAAAAATCTGTTGTTTCCAAATTTCATGGCGTCAGCAAATCCCAAAAAAGTTGGGACAAGTCCATTTTTACCACTGTGTGGCATCCCCCCTTCTTCTTACAACACTCAACAGACGTCTGGGGACAGAGGAGACCAGTTTCTCAAGTTTAGAAATAGGAATGCTCTCTCATTCATGTCTAATACAGGCCTCTAACTGTTCAGTCGTCTTGGGCCTTCTTTGTCGCACCTTCCTCTTTATGATGCGCCAAATGTTCTCTATAGGTGAAAGATCTGGACTGCAGGCTGGCCATTTCAGTACCCGGATCCTTCTCCTACATAGCCATGATGTTGTGATTGTTGCAGAATGTGGTCTGGCATTATCGTGTTGAAAAATGCAGGGTCTTCCCTGAAAGAGATGACGTCTAGATGGGAGCATATGTTGTTCTAGAACCTGAACATAGTTCTCTGCATTAATGGTGCCTTTCCAGACATGCAAGCTGCCCATGCCACAAGCACTCATGCAACCCCATACCATGAGTGATGCAGGCTTCTGAACGGAGCGTTGATAACAACTTGGGCTATCCTTGTCCTCTCTGGTCCGGATGACATGGGGTCCCAGTGTTCCATAAAGAACTTCAAATCGTGACTCATCTGACCACAGAAGAGTCTTCCATTTTGCCACACTCCATTTCAAATGACCCCTGGCCCAGTGCAAACGTATGAGCTTGTGGAGCTTGCTTAGAAATGGCTTCCTCTTTGCACTGTAGAGTTTCAGCTGGCAACGGTGGATGGCACGGTGGATTGTGTTCACTGACAATGCTTTCTGGAAGTA